ATTTAGCTTTACTGTTGAAAGTATTACATATGCCCTCCCCTTTTACCCCATTGATCCCCTCCTTGCCCGATCCCACCCTCCCCTTCACCACATTATTGTCCATGTCCATTGGTCATGCATATATGCATATAAGTTATTTGGTTTATCTCTTCTGGCACCTCCTCCCATTATGGTTTGAATTTTCATTCCCTTATCACAGATCAGTGTCAGCATCTTATGGTTGCTTATTGCAGGGAAGGAATAAAACAGTCTGACTCTCAGTGTGAGAAGTGGCAAAGAGTTTTCTCCTCTGAGAAGAATTATTTAAATCTATTTTCTATTTTTTAATTCAATTTTTTAACTATATTTAAGTAAAACTTGGTCTGTTTCATATTTTTGTATTGTTTTATTGTGTCTTTTTACATAGAGACGTTTTATGTTTTGATATGGTTAAATTAATCTCTTTTCCTTTCTGGTCTGGCCTTTGGATCTTGCTGAAGGCCTTTTATCTGGTTCTGAGAGTTCCATGGACACTCATTGGCTAGTCAGTCTCTTGTCTCTGGAGGGCAGCTCCACCACTGAGTTCTAGAATCAGCCCCTAGGGGACATGCTGCAGGCTCCTCCACGAAGGAGCTCTCAACTGCTCAGGCTGCACTCCAGACTTTAACATGTGCTCGCCCCACAATTCCCCATCCCCAACCTCCATACACACGTTGAAAACAACTTGGAACTACAGAATGCCAGAAAGAATATTGAGAGTCGTAATCTTAAACTCTTGTTCTCATGAATGAGGAGTATGAGATCTACACCTTGCTGTCCAACAAGGTAGCCATTAACTATGTGTGCTTTAATTCTGTTAATTAAAATGAAAAATCCAGTCACACTAGCCAAATTTCAAATGCTTCATGGCTACATGGCTCATGCCTACTATATTTAGAACAGTTCCATAGCTGCAGAAAGTTCTAGTGGACAAGGTTGCTCCAGAGCTTCGCTACTTAAAGGGGGCCTGCTGACTGGCAGCAGGACGATAGGCATCCCTGGGAGCTGGTTAGAAATGGAGAATCTCAATTAATGGAGAATCGGGCCCCACCTCAGACCTAGAGTCCGAATCTGCAATTTAACAAGATCCCCAGATTAGAGTCTGAGAAGTCCTAATCATGTGATCCCCTCCTCCCCAAGTCATACAGCTAATTGGTGTCCATCCAGGCCCTTCCTTTGACCCAGCCACCATTTTCCCTTACCTTCCCATGTCCTTCTTATCTCCCTGCCACACTTGCTTCCTCACTTTGTTTAATTATAGCATTTTATAAGCAGCTATAGGGCAGTCAGGCCATTGAAGGCCTCAGAAAATCCTCCATGCCCTTACTTTTATTCTGCTTTGCAGGTGTTTGCTTGATGGATTGATGATAAAGGCCCAGACCCCTGTGATGGCTGTGGTGTTGTGCAGCATTTCCCCTGGAGTATCTCTGTTAGGAGTTGGGAGCGGGGCCTAGAAATTAAAGCTGATCTTGAGATCAGTGGGGCACAAGTCATCAACCTATAGCACACTTGGTCTTGGTGATAAAATGGCAGCATTCACTTCTCTAAAGTCCACAGCCCTGGGGTAGAGTAGGCAAAGTAGACAATGTACTCATTTGCCTTGCAAAGTTCCACATCTGACTCTTTGATTGATTAGTAGGTCACCAAAAGGGTTAGGGCACTGATAGTTCTCTCTCTCTCTCTCTCTCTCTCTCACACACACACACACACACACACACACACAGTGCAGCAGCCAGGTCCACAAAGAATGGACCCATGTATGCCAGCCCAACTTTTTGAAGGTGCTGCAAGAATTGCTGTCACATCTTTGGGTTTTGTTACTGAACTCAGTACCACTGGGCTGGGACTGTACTCCAGGCAGTAGAGTCCCCAACAACCAGACTGGCCAATATAGAAGGAGGTGCCTCTAATACAGATATAGACTCTACAATGTAAAGGGTCAGTTTCTGCAGATACATTACAAATCTCTGGCAATACCATTAGTTCCTAGAAAAGTGTTTTGGTATGTCCTAGCCTTCCCTATTTATAAATTGGATCAAGTATCATCAAATATTTACTGTTATGACTATGCTCAAGGAATTATGAGTATTTTTTTCCCCCTCTAAATATCCCTAATCCTCAAGGAACTTCCAGTGTAGTTCGGAGGATATTAACTAATGTCCATTAAAAAGCCATAACAATCATACAAGGCTGAGAATCTGAGGGCCAGTGGGATAGTCTGAATTACAGGGACTCAGAGGAGAGAAAGGGTGTAGTGAGAGAAGAGACTAAGGGAAGGAGAGCAATGAACTGCATTAAAAATAAAAGGTATTGCTAAGTCCCCAGTGGGGGCATGCAGGAGGCAGCCAATCGATGTTCTCTCTCATCAATGTTTCTATCTCTTTCTCCCTCTCTCTCCCTTCCTCTATCTCTAAATAATAAAGAAAAAAAATTTTTAAATAAAAGGCATTAATTACATTATCAGCAGGTTCTGCAAAGGTATGATCCCTATTTCAATGCTCTGTCAGCGCCTAGGGCAGAGTTGGCACAGGGTAGGCACATGTACATGTGACGGTGGTATAATAACAAAAGCAGGCAGTATCTGATGGTTACAAGACTTGACAACAGGTCAAGAAATGTTGACATTCGCATTGGTGACTGCCCCTCTAGGACTTTAAGTGCCTAAACACTCTTTCCACCCCTCCGGGATACCGAGAGTGCAGAGCGGCCAGGACTTGCTGGTTTTGACGTATACTGCAACGCAATGGGTATCGATTGACTGAGGGGTCCTGTGAGGCTCCCTCTGCCCTCGGCTACCCACCTGCGGGGAAGGACTGGCGGAAAGACACATATCCCCTCCATCACAGCATTTCCATTCGCCATTAAGCATCAATCGGATACTATCTAGGCTCTTCCAAGGCAAGGTCTTGCCTCAGTCCCAGGGTACCAGCTGGTGCCGGCTTGGTGCCCAGTACCTTATAGTCAGTGCCAGCGGATGATTCATCAATACAGCCATTAATGAAATTAGTTACTCCATGACTCTGCCGTCCGAATACCACCAATTCCTTCAGCTTGACTGTCCCGCCCAGCGCCCACACAAGAGCGCGTAGGGCGGGATGACGCACGCGCCGCAGGTGCTTGAGGGGAAGAGGGAGGGGGAGGGGGAGAGGGAGGGTGGCCGGGCACGCGCCTGCGCGGGGCCGCGTCGCTAGGTCGTGCGAGTGGGCGGGGAGCGCATGCGTGGGCGGCGGCGGCCTTAAGGGCGGTGTCGGCCCCAGCGGCCCAGTCGGCCCGTCAGCCGGCTAGGAGGCAGAGCTCCGCGCTTGCGCAGCAACGGCGGCCATGGCGGCGGAGGACGAGGACGTTGGTGAAAGGTGAGAGCGGCCGGGACTGGTGGGGCTCGGGCGCGCGCCTTCCACGCGGACCAGCGCCGAGGCCGGGCGGGCAGCGCCGAGGACTCGCCTGGCCGCTCCCTCGCGCCGCCCGGAGGAGAAGCCCGCCCGCTCTGCCCCGTGCGGACGCCGGTGGGCGCCAGGGCGCGAGAGGTGCCCGAGTCAGACGCCCGCAGCGCCCTGAGGCCGCCTGACCCCGAGAGGGGCCGCCGCGTCGTTGTGTAAGCGTCTCCGCGGGGCGGCGGCGAGGTGGCCGGTCCTGCCCCAGCGCGGCCGGCGGGCGGTGACCCGCCGTCCCTGCACCTGACTCGAGTCTCAGGGAACGGCCGAGTCACTGCCCACTTCCGAGCGCGGCTCGCGGCTCCAGGTACGCGCAGCGCCCTGTCCAGCCTGCGACCCGAACGAAAGGGCCGCCGGCCGAGCCTCTCCGGAGCCTGGAGGAGGGGGCGGCGCCGCGGGGCGCTGGGGGGTGGGGAGCCCCTTTCACCCGACAGCCGGGCAGCGGACCGCAGGGGTGTCCGGGGCAGGAAGAGCCCGTCGTGAGGCAGCGGGGGTAAGGGGAGTGGGTACAAGGCTTTGGTTTCAGAAAACGTTTCATTACAAGCACTTTTCAGAAAGCACGATATGGATAGCAAGTTCAGAATTAATAGTCTTTCCGATGGAGGTCTCCCGTTGCTTCAAGTGTTCTGGCTTACTGGAGAACTGTGTCGTGGGTGTGGGTGCGCCCCAGAAAACGTGTATGTAGAAAACTGCATGAAAGTTGGAAGACGGCAGTCTCACGTGAAGCTTCTTGCTGTACCAGTATGCCAAATTTAAATTGTTCTTTTCTACCTGTAACTGACTTCATGCCCTTGTCAGTAGACATAGTTAATAAGTGGGAAAACTCAATTGTTGTGAATATTAGTTCCTTATTTCTCAAGGCCAGTCATTTATATGGGCGAGTAAATAAACGTTTGTGCTCCCTATGTATGTATGTTTAGCATTTTGATAACCGTTCTTCTTCAGATGTCTGGATAAATTTGCATATGAAACGTAATCTAAATGGTAGAAGATAATGTGGAGTACCATGAAGACAGATATTTGGAAATAGGTGTGTGTGGGTGGGGAGGGGGGAGTAGTTCTGAAATATTAGAAACTGTGTTCTTGGGGGAGGGCAACAGGAGGAGGGTGTCAGTGGGGGGAAAAGGAGAAACATCTGTAACAAAAATAAATTAATTAAATAAAAATAAATAAAAAGAAAACTGTTCTACCTTTGGATTTTGATTATGTGATAAATGGGTCCATTGTTTGGGTTTGTTTTTGAACTTGTTCAGGTGAGATGCTGAATGTCACATGGACACAAGTAGGAACCTAACTGGTTGCTTCTTTCCATATAGTTTGTCACAATGATTTTGGCTCCTTGGAGACTACTTTTAGGTGGACTCTTTTGTCTCCCTGTTGTAGGGCTTGGGAGTCCAGGGTACCACTGTGAAAAGAATCTGGCTTTAGGTGATGGCTGGAGGTCACTGGGGACTGATTATAAAAAATCCTTAGCAGCTGACTAGCCATAATGCCACAACAGAGGTGGGCCTCCTTAGTATTCTTGGCAATACCCTTGGGCAATGGCCAGTGTCCAAACTAGTATGGCCTTCTGAACTGTACCAGGCAGGACAGCAAGTACCTGCTCCTGCTGGGTATTCCCTCAATGTGCTCATACTAAACCAAAGGTTGACCCTGTGTACTAGTTATTGGTGTTCTCGTTTTTCAGTTGGACCAGCAACTGGGAGGCTACAAGCACCCCACTTGTAAGTAGTAGGGCTGAATTAGAGGCCCTTAGTGTCTGTATTTAGGTTAAGATGCTTTCCCCATATCTCTGCTGCCTCTCACTGGGACGGCAACTTATTTGGGATATTTGGGTCTTGTTTCTTTAGTTTACTCAACTGACATTTCCTTATTTAATCCTTGCATTGACACAGAGCTCTCTTTGTTAATCACCAATAGAACTATCCCAACAGCCAAGTGGATTGTGGAAAAATAGAAGTCCTGAATCAAGTTTTCTATCCTTAAGGCATTTCAGGCTTAGATGGAAAGGTGATACTAATAAAGGTAACAATTATAAAAAGTCTTCAGAAGGTTTTTTAGAGCGTATGATTCTTATTTTTTACTTTGTGAGTCTCTTAGTGAAGACAGGCATGCCTGGGAGCCATTGGCTTTCAATATCTGATCCTTTTCCATTGCGATACAGTTGAGAAAGCTAAATGTAACAAAAGTTGGGTGGTCTTCTGTGAATTGCTGCATGGTTGTCCCAGAGAATGAGTATCAGTTGAGTTTAGAGGAAAGCTGTCACAGAATTTCTCAGTTGTAGAGTAGACTGTAAAATAGGTGGTTTGCAGTGGTGTGCTGTGGTTGGCTTGTACTGGCAGCCATTGCTAAATTCTCAGGAAGTTTGACACCCATTGGCACCTTGAAATCAGCCATGCTGGTAGTATTTATACCATGAGTCATCAAATGCTATAAATAAGGGTTTTTTCCCCTTCTCCTTATCCTCCAGTGGACTTACCAGCCCCCTACAGAGTTTACATTAGTATTTGACTGTAGTTCTTGGATATAGGAGAGTGGATTTCTATCTTTTAAAACTTAAAATCAGTGACTCCTCTTTGCCATCGCTCATACCTTTGCCATCTAATTTCTTAGAAATAACAGAAGTCCTCAATGCCACATCCCAGTGGGCTTTTATTTTTCTCTGTATTTATCTCTCTTGGGTTCTTTTCAGTGTTTAATGCTCTAAAGATGACTACTCCTTTTTGAAACTCTTATCAGACATCCTAGCTCTTAGGACATTTTGCTTCTTGTCTTGCTTCAGACCAATAGTCACTTTTATAAGGTTCTCTTCTTTTTCTATTCTATAAATGTAGTCATTCTCCAAGATTCTACCTCCATCTTCGTTTTCATTTTTTGTCTTGTTGACTCACACTCCTTGACATATCTTGTCTGTGGAGAGCTGAAATTTCATCCTTATTATGGAGCTCTCTTCAGTAGTCTAGAGATGTTTCTAATTGTGTGCCAAATATTTGCACCTGGTTCCTCAACTGTAATACATGCAGGTCAGGACCTTATTTGCACCTTTCCCTGAACTAAACAATACAAAATGCTCAGTTCTTCCCCTTGACTTCCCTACTTTTATTAGCGTTCTTCTGGTCATTCAGATTCAGAACTATGGCATGATCTCTCAGCTCTCCTCTCCACTGCCCTGAATACCAAATCTGTTACCAAGTCCAGTAGATTCTAAGTACGTCACCTTTCTATTTTCACTGTCACCTGGGGCCCACGTTCAGACCCTCCTTATTCCCTTTTCTGGATTAATGCAGGTTAGTAACACATTCTGTTCCTATGCTCTCAACATAACTTATTTCATTACTTTTTTTTATCCCCAAAAGGCACAGTCTTGTTTGTAGCACAGGTACACACAGTGGTTTAATTACATGTACTCATCCTGACTTAAAAGCCCTTTGCTGGCAGCATGGCTCCTGTCTGTTTTTGAAGTCATATTTCCTCTCTGTGCACTGGGCTGTAGCCTCTCTGTCTTTCATTGTTTCCTAAACATGTTCCTTGCTCATCTTCATTTTCCCAAGGCTTAGTTCACATTGTTGTCTCAGACCCAAAATAGATTGTGATCTCCCTTCTTTAAAGGTTCTCGGTATTTTTTCTTTTTCTTTTTTATCCTCACATTTTTTGTTCTGACAGAGTGGGGTGGGGGGAGAAAGAGAGAGAAACATTGATGTGAAAGGGACACATCGAGTGGCTGCCACCTGCACGACCAACCAGGTCCGGGGACAAACTGCAACCGAGGTATGTGCCCTTAGTGAACCCGGGTCTCTCTGGACCGCAGGCTGAGCCAAAACAGCCAGGACTATTTTTTATTTTTTTAAATATTTTTTTAGAGAGAGAGGACGGGAGAGGGAGAGAGATGGAAACATGGATATGAGAGAGAAACATCAATCTGCTGCCTCCTGCACACCCCCTACTGGGGATTGAGCTTGCAACCCGGGCACATGCCCTAACCAGGAATCAAACTGGCAACCTCTTGGTGCATGGGACTATACTAAATCTGCTGAGCCACACCAGCTGAGCATCTTAGTATTTTCCTAAACTTTCTTTATGGCACTTATGCCATCTTTTGTAGTATAGTTATTTGCATATTTAGTTGTTTATAACTATACTATATACTTAGCTGGCATGGGAGATACCATGATCATGTAGTATAGTTATTTGTTTTTTTGTCAGCCCATTGAGGTCAAAGCTTTTGTTTTACCAGATGTCTGGTAGGAGCCTAAAGGGGCTTTATAAATAGTAAAGTTCAATAAATTTTTATTGAATTAAATAAATTTATGCTGGCACAAACATTAAGATAAAAAAAAAAAAACCTAGATTATATATTTTGCAGCTGTGTGACTTAAATTTTTCATCCTAAGATATTCAAAGAATATCAAAAGATATATTTATTATTATATATATATATTTATCCTCACCTGAGGACATTTCTGCATTTATCTTCAGATAGAACAGGATGGAGAGAGGGAGGAAGAGAGAGAGAGAAACATCGATATGAAAGAGACACATCAACTGATTGCCACCCACTCAACCCCAACCGGGCCTGGGGACAAACTGCAACTGAGGTACGTGCCCTTAGCGGGAACCGAACCCGGGACTCTCTGGTCCGTGGGCCAACACTCTAACCGCTGAGCCAAACAGGCCAGGGCAAAAGATACATTGATAAGAATTCAAATATTGAATTTGACTAGGACAAAAATTACGACCATCAACTTGAATTACATTGGGGAGGTTGGGAACATGATTCTGTTTCTTCACCTTGGATGAGCCAATCCAAGCTTCAGTGTTTTGCTTGCTTTCCAAAATGCCAGTCACAGACTAGCAATTACGAATTTCAATTTTGTGAGAAAGAACTTAACAAAACATTGTGAAGTCCCAGGATGGTCCATTTAATAAAAACAACATTGGATAATACATTTCAGAATTATGTACATCTCTGAACAAGTCCTTAAAGATTTCACTTATATTATTTATAATAGAAGCTCAGAAATTTATTGTTAGGTTTTTAATCTAGCCTTGTGGTTCTATAATTCCCCACTCTTGATTGTGAATCATAAAAAGTTGGGTGGAAGATGATTTTATTAAAAATTATTCAGTTTGAGATGCAGGATTTTTAGTTTTTTTTATCTAGTGGATGAACTTCATTTTAGAACTAACACAAAATGTCACTTGAATTTGTTAAGCAATTTAAATTACAATGTAAATCTAAATTGCACATGGAGCTTTCTTTAAGTATGTTTGATGCTGTGTCCAACTCCAGAATGCTTTGCTTCTATGTGAGAGAAGATAGGATACAACGGGGGGAAAATATCAGTACAGGGTTAACACACTGATTCTCCAACTCTGGGTCTTTAAAGGTTACAGGTTAGAAAATTTTAAAAAGTTAAAAGAATGTTAATTAATATGTTAAAATATATTAGAAGGCCTGTGTTACTATTGATCTAGTAGTTTGTGATAAATCATTTAAGTATCATTTATTTGAAATAAAATGGCATATCAATCCCTTAAATTATGGTCATATGAGACATACTCGTTTTTTTTCTCTTTTCCAAGAATCAGATTTAGAAAGTCAGTTTTCAGGAAAGACTTTTATTTGCCCAAGTGTTACAATGTCCAATTTGGAAGTTTTCAGTCATTCATCAGTTGAGAAATTACTTCAGAGGAATATGTATATATGCACCTCTAGTTTGAATATTTATAACAAAAATCAAAACCTCATAGTTTCTCTAAATGAGATAGAACACTGTGCTTAGAGTAGCTTATAGAGAGCAATAATAAACCTAATTTTTCTCTCTTGACAGTACCAGCATAAGGATGGAGGTTATTTATAAAATTGTAATATAATGAAATCCTCTTTACTTATAACCTAATTAGAAATGTTATTTACATGGCCAAGAGTGTGTGGAAATTGGCCAGATTTCTGTATATTTCCTTCAGAATACTCTGAAACCTCTTTCACTCTTTCACAATATTTATAGATTGTGCAATTCAGGTTTAGTAATACTATAGATAGTCCAATGTCTTAGAGAACAAAACAGGGATTACCAGGAAACTCAAATGTTGATGGCATAAGACAGAAGTACAACATTAATGATATCTTTTTAAAAAACGAAGATTAGATAGAAAATTAAGGGGAACATTTCAGTGTGTTTTATCTCTCAAACTCAGGATACTTAAAATCATATTTTTAAGTTAATAAACTCTTAATATGTTAAGCAAATCTTATTTGGCTTTCTTTAGAATTGCTACATCAAAAGTGTAGTCTTTTAAAACTTTTATTACTCAGAAGTCTGCTCACTGGAAAGGTTTTTTCACTGTTTTTATTACAGAGATTATAAGACAAGATTCCCTGTATTTGTTGTGATTAGATGCTTTAGGGTTTGGGTTCTCTGTGCTAAGATCAGTGCTCAACTCATGGAGTGGTGTAGAAAACATTTTGGTGCACATTGGTGAGCCTTTCTGTTGTCATAGATAGGTATAGTCCCTATAGTGAATGGCTTTTGTTTTTCTTTTTTTATTGAAGTAAATTGACATGCAACATAATACTAGTTTCAGATGTACAACATAATGATTTGAAATTTGTGTACACTGTGAAATGATCATCACACTAAGTCTTTTTACCGTCTGTTACTATATACAGTTACAAAGTTTTCTTATGATGAGGACTTTTAAGATTTATTTTCCTAGCAACTTTCAGATTTACAGTATGATATTATTGATTATAGTCACCATGCTGTCCATTACAGTCTCATGACTTATTTTATAACTGGAAGTTTGTACTTGTTGATCCCCTTCACTCACTTCACCCAACTCCCTCCCCTTTGGCAACCACCCATCTGTTCTCTGTATCTGAGAAATTGGTTTTGTTTTGTTATGCTTGTTTTTCTAGATCCACATGTAAGTGAGATTATATGGTATTTGTCTTTCTCTGTCTGATTTATTTCACTTAGCATAGTACCCTCAAGATTCAACCATGTTGTCATGAATGACAAGATTTTATTTTTGTTATCAATGTTGTTGTTGTAAATAGTAATAGTAGTAGTAGTATTGCTAAGTAGTATTTCATTAGCTGTATCAAATACATCTTCTTTGTCCATTTATCTATCAGTGGGCACTTAGATTGTTTCCATATCTTGGCTGTTGTAAATTATGTTGTAATGAACATCTTTCCATGTGCCTGTTGGCCATCTTTGTGTCTTTGGAAAATTGCATGTGCAGGTCCTTTGCCCATTTTGTAATCTGACTGGTTTCTTTGTTATTAAGTTGTATCAGTTCTTTGTATTTTTTAGATATCAACTCCTTATCAGATATATGATCTGCAAATGTCTTCTCCCAATGAATGGCTTTCTGTATATTGTGATTGACACTTGGGTCACTTATGAAATTAGAGCCTCAGCAATAGATGATGGTGTTTATTGATTATCTGCTTAAATAAAATAGAGAAGTTAAATTTTGCTTTTCTATTTATTTTCCAAAGCTATGAAGAGGCATCTCGATACTTTGTTCACTCTTTTATAGGTGAGTCACATGAATTGAATTTTTACTTTTGATTTTTTGACCTCAGAAAAATGACTGGATATCTGACAAGCTTCAGTCTTATGTCCTTAGTTATGGTATCATGTCCTTAGTGCCAGTGTTCCCAGACTAGAAATGCAGAACAACACTGAATGACATAGGAGGTCATGAGAGTCTCTTTGAGGATGAGGTTAATTTACCCCACAGACAAGAGGTGAGGTTGGATGGGTGTTTTAGAACAGTAGAGGTGGCAAGCTGAAGATGTGGGAACTTCTGAACAAAGGGTGATCAGCTCAAGGATGGAAAAGATAGACCCCTGCTTTCACCCTTTAGAAGTGTTCCTTTGAGCTAATTATGTACATAGTACTCAGTCCTGCAGATCATCTCTAAGAAAGAAGTAGAAGACAGTTTCTATAAAATCTGGTTAAGACAAAACTGGACTAAAACATTATCAGGACTTAGGGGAAGAAAGGTATCTTTACAGTTTCATTCTGAATGAAAATAAAACATTTTACTGTTTTGTTAAATTTAGATTTTCTTTTTAGTTTAAATATACTTTAAAAAACTCCAGTTAAAAAATTACCTGCTTTGATGATAAGGTTGTAAAACATGAAGAGTGGTAGTGGCTCTTGTGGTTGAAAAGCCCTAATTTTTAATGTCATGCACTAGACTTGGCAAACAAAAATATTATTTTACCTGCTCACTTTGAGTTAAACCCTTAACCAGGAGACAAAATGCATGGACAAGACATCCTGTCCTTTGAAGTTGGTTTTACGATGAGATGTAGACATAATTCCTGTATTACAGGCAGGTATATAACATTTTAAACTCTAGTGTCTTGTATATTGTAGGTATTCAGAGAATGTAATTTTTTTTTAAAGACTTGAAACTAAGATTGCATTTGTGTTTTCTTTTCCCCAACATGTCTGTGATGTCAGTTGGAGTAATAGTAGATTATAGTTCATTTCACTTTCATTTCCCTTTTTTTTTTGTACTGACCTCTGATTCTCTCTGGCAAAGAACTGTGTATGATTTGAGGACTATTTCAGAAAATTGATGAGACAAGTTGTAACTAACTTCTTCTTGGTACTAGCTCATATATTTGTGACCCCACATGGAATTTGATTACCATTCCTAGACAAGAACAAAAGAGCTTCAGCTTAGTAATGGTTTGCCTAAAAAATTTTAAGCTCTAAAGATCATGAGATTCTTTTAATTGCTTGTTAACTACTTTTTTCCAACAATTGAAAAATTGTTAAAGAAATTGGTAAGTTCATTGCTGAAGCCTTAAATTGTTTTTCTTTGATAATTTATAAATAGGCTTATAAATTTACAAATAGGCTAATATAATGTTTTACATTAGTTTATACTTTGATAATAAGTTATATGGAACATTTGTGGAGGATACCTAGAGGTCTTGTCATCTCATCCTGTTAATGCAGAAGGTTTGAAACTAACAGCAGAGAACATTAGAGCCTCATTGTAATACAGACAAGAATGTATCTTCTGTTTGTGCAGGTTTGAGGAATGTGACTTTATTCTGTAGGTAATGAGAATTCTTTCAGTTTAAGGAAAGTAGTCACCTGAGAAAAACGGGGCTTTGAACTCAAATTTCTAGTTGTGTAACTTAAGAGCTGTTTACTCTTAGACCTGCGTGGTGCTTAACATTTCTGATGTTAACCTCAGTTTTCACATCTATGAATAGGGATACCTTAGACTGAGAATAACCTGGATTGTGAGTGACTTAATAATTCAGCAAACATTTACTGAGTGCCTGTTACACATAATGCCCAGAGGAATTCTACAGGGAAGGGGAATGTAGACAGATGAGCCTACAAAACTTAGAAAAAGCTGGTTGCTGGATCAACCCATCCAAAACTTACCACATTTCTCTACTCACACCTATTCTTATTCATGTGTCCTGTGATGTTATTAGTGGCACCTAAGACTAGGAAGCCTCTATCATTCTTTTATATCCAACCAGTTATCAAATTCAGCCTCTTACTTTTTTTGGTATAAAATTGTATTATAGTGAATTGCTTAAATATTAAGTGTTCATGTGTTGAATTTTGACCTATGCATATATCTGTCATTCATCACCTCTTAAGATAACTTCATTACCATTCCAGAAACTTCTCTTATTACTCAGGTGATCCACTTCTAATTCATTCAACCAGTTCATTTCAGATGAAGCAATAACTTTTTTTTTTTTATCCTCACCCGAGGACATTTTTCCATTCTTTGCTCAGATAGAGTGGGAGGGAGAGAGAGGAACGGAGAGAGAGAGAGAAACATCGATGTGAAAGGAACACATTGAGTGGCTGCCACCCGCACGACCAACCAGGGCTGGGGACAAACTGCAACCGAGGTACGCACCCCTAGCGGGAACCGAACCCGGGTCTCTCAGGACCGCAGGCCGACGCTCTAACTGCTGAGCCAAACCGGCCAGGGCGCAATAATTTTTTTCATTCATATCATCAATATATATTAATATGCCAGGTATTGGAAAGGAAACTGAGAATATAGTCATAGGTAAGGATACTGATGAGTAAATAAGAACTTTATAACACAACTTGGGAAGTAAGAAAATAAAGTGTGAGAATAGGGAACCATCCTGCCACCTTGATCTAATCCTGTTTGGGGGAATGAAATCTAATCTGAAGTTGATGAGAGGTGTAATGAATCAAGAAAGGAAGGAGAGTAGCATACTCCAAGGATGTTCAGAACCAGGAAACAAGAGAACAGAGAATACTATACAATTAGAGAATAGAAAGAGAATAAGAACTGATCGAAATGATACTAGAGTGTCAAGTAAAAGGCTGAAGAAAGGCTGAATTTCCCACTGTAGGTCAACTAGAAGTAACCTTAGCTTTGGGGCAAGGAGTGATCCAAAATGACAGTTCTTTGTCAATTTGAACTCCTCTGAACCTTAGTTTATTTTAATTACTTAGTTAATTACTTCCTAATTAATGCCACGTAATTTTAGTGAATTATTATTATTGTTGTCATTGGTGTAATCATACTCCATGCTTTCTATTTGTGGTCGTGGTCCCCAAAGATAATGGTCTCCAAAGGTATGGCCATATTCTAATCCTTGAAACCTGTACCTGTTACTTTATATGGCAAAGACTGCAGATTTTTTTTTTTTTAATCCTCACCCGAGGACATTTTTTATTTTTATTTTTATTTTTTGCACTTATCTTCAGATAGAGCGGGAGGGAAAGAGGGAGAAAGAGAGAGAGAGAGAAACATAGATGCAAGAGAGACACATCGGGTGATTGCCACCAACACTACCCCAACTGGGGCCAGGGACAAACTGCAACCGAAGTACGTGCCCTTAGTGGGAACTGAACCCAGGTCTCTCTGGACCGCAGGCTGACGCTCTAACCACTGAGCCAAACCAGCTAGGGCAAGACTGCAGACTTTTAATTTGCAATTAAAAATTGCGAGATGATCCCAGATTATTTGGGTGGGCCCTAAATTCATTCATTAGTGTTCTTTCAAGTGATAGGCAGAGGGAGATTATAGGCAGGTAGAAGAGGAGAAGACACACAGAAAAAAGAAGGCAACGTGGTGATGAACTGGAGTGACTCTGCACAGGGTAAGGGGTACCAGCAGCCACCAGAATTTAGAAGAGGCAAGGAATGAACTTTCTCCCAGAGCCTCTATTGGGAACATGGCCCTGCTGACCCCTTAAGTTTAGCCTAATGATACTGGTCTCCAAACTATGATAGAATAAATTTCTGTTGTTTTGAGCTACCAGGTTTGTGGTCACTTGTTACAGCAGCCACGGGAAACAGCCAGTGCACTATAGCTAGAATATACATTCTGCACGCCCATGTGCATGGACTCAGATGCCTTTTCCTTCACTGGAAGTGCTTGCACTACCACTCCACCTTTGAAATGATCCTATTTGTCCGTGAAGATCAAGTCAAAAGCAACTTCCTGATTCCCTCAACAAGAAGTAATAACTCTTATCTCTGTTCGGCAGCTGATATATCCCAAGTGATTAGAATAGTTCCTCACAGATAGTAAGTGCTCAGTAAATACTTGTGAATTAATTCTGTCACATATTATGGTTGTTGAGTAATATGTTTTCCCTATTAGATTTTTTTCTTTTTTAATTGACATATAACATTGTGTTAGTTTAAGGTATGCAGCTTGTCAATTTCATGCATTTGTGTATTGCAGTATGGTTAACCACCCATAGCTCTAGCTAACATCTCTATCATGTCACCTAATTATAGTTTTATTTTATGATGAGAATATTTAAGATCTTTCTTAGCAGTTTTGAAGTATATAGTATGGTATTATTGACTATAATCACCATGCTGTGTAGTAAATCTCCAGAGCTTATTTATCTTCTAGTTGTAAGTTTGTACACTTTAGTTTGTTGTTGTTGTTGTTTTTTAAATATTCCTTGGCTTCATCTTCTTGGCCCCATTTCTATTGCCACAGCCTTGGTTCAGGCCCATACCTCTCTTCTGGAGTCTGCAGTAGTTGGTCTCTCTTCCTCCTCTAATTCATTTTCTGTTTCATCACTTTAATACTGGTCATGTGCGCTTGCTGTTAGATGGCTACTGAAGCTCTACAGTATCTCAGATTGTTACAATAAGCCTGTGGTCTGCTGATGCCCAGGCAGGAGTTGAAGGTTCAGCCTCTCCTTTGCTGGCGGCCAGCAAAGCGTGTCTGTTCCAGCGTCCCCACACCTTTCCTTGCCTGTTGCCTCCAGCCTGCTTTTTCTTTTTGTTGAGCTGTTTCTGCCATACGCCTGGATCACTCTTTTCACCTACTGTTCGCTGGAACCCAAAGCTTTTCCACTATAGTTAACCAGTTCACTCCTTGGCAGATTGTACATGGGCCAGTCCCTAGGAAGGGCAGAGAAGAGAGGGTTACAGGGAAATGGAGCCAGAGCTACCAGATTTAGTCAGTCCTGAAGTCCCTCTTCTTCTGGACTTAAAGCTATGAGCCTATAACGTTCATTATCATTTCAGCTGGATTGAGGGGGGTTTTCTGGAATTTGCCACCATAGGCCACCTATAGATTTACTCTCCCTTGCCCTGGCCGGTTTGGCTCAGCAGTTAGAGCGTCAGCCTGCGGTCCTGAGAGATCCGGGTTCGGTTCCCGCTAAGGGCATGTACCTCGGTTGCAGTTTGTCCCCGGCCCTGGTCGGTTGTGTGGGTGGCAGCCTCTCTCTCCCTCCCACTCTACCTGAACAAAAAATGGAAAACTGTCCTCGGGTGAGGATTAAAAAAAAAAAAAAAAAAATTATGAGATTTACTCTCCCCTCCTCCCCAAGAAAAAAGAGGAAGTACAAATAGGAAATTGCTTTCTCTACTCTTAACTATGAGATTTGAAGCCTTTTTATTTAAAAAATCTCATATTTTGGTAAGATTTCTCTTCTCGCAACCCTCACAGCAGTTAATTTTATACCTGCTGTGAAGCTACCACTGAAAGACCTGTGCATGGTCTCTGGTTTTCACTTCCACCCTGATGAGAGGCTGTCTTGCAGTGGGATTGGGGAATGGCTTTGTTGTGTTTTCTCTTTTTTTTTTTTTTTTTTAAGTCTTCTTAATTTTTTATTTATTGATTTTTAGAGAAAGAGAGAAACATCAATTTGTTGTTCCACTTATTTATGCATTTATTGGTTGATTCTCGTATGTTCCCTGACTGGGGATCAAACCCACAACCTTGGCTTATCAGGACAATGCTCGAACCAACTGAGCTACTGGACCAGGGCTTGTCTTTTCTTGTTCTGCCCATTTTTAATCTCCGCTTGATTATTTGGAATCTGACTATTCACAAGGATAAGATGAATGGACTTTGATGTCTACTTGTAGGTTCATAGGCTGAAGTTGACTGTATCCCAGTACTTCATCACACTGCTTTGTACCTATTAGGTGAATTTTGTCATATATAGATAGCTTCACCCTCACACAGACAGAAGTTTTCTATTCTGGTTTACTTCTGTGTGTGTAACAGTTGGGAGTTGAGAAGAACATTACCTCACCTATTTGTATTTTGTTTTGATACTCTAGGTCAGGATGGCTAACTGGTTGGCTTCCCACATGGTGCCCTACGTCTACATCACACCTTAAAGAAGCTGAAGAGAAAATGTTAAAATGTAAGGTTTTCTTTTTATAAGTTAACTGAGCTGTTTGCTAAAATAGGTCTAATATTTACATTGTTCTGAACCTTAAGATAAGATTTTGTGGTGTGTGAGTTGTTGGCAAGAACTGTTTTTTTCTTTTCCATGCCATCAGCAAGTGCCTAAATGTGGGGGACAGGGGCTCTCAAACTTTTTGGTCTTGAGTGTCTGCTATACTCTTAAATTAGTAAGGACCCTAAGGAGCTTTGTTTATAGGTAATAGCTATCATTTACAATATTAGAAATTAAGACTGAATAGTTTAAAATATGTTAATGTATTAACTTATTTTAAAATAGTAATAAACCCATTACAGGTTAAAATAAATAACATATTTTCTAAAAATAACTATTTTCCAAACAAATGTAGTAAGAAGTGTAGCACTGTTTAGATGTTTGAAAATCTCTTTACTGCCTGGCTTAATTCAAGGCATCTGGATTTTCATATCTGCTTCTGAATTTAGACTGTTGGTATCTTTTGTGATCTCTGAAAAACTCCACTATGTATCCATCACAGAATAAGAGATAAGAGTGAAAAGTCAAATAAAGTCTTATTATTATGAAAATAGTTTTGACCTCATAGATCTCCTAAAAGGGCTTCAGGGAGTCCCCAAGGTCCCTCGACTATGCATTGAGAATAGGATGTAAGCAGTCCAGAGCATGTCATCTTGTAGAATGGACCAAGTACTGGACCGGAACAAGATAACCTGGTGTAGGCCCAGATCTACAATCAGGTGGTTACAGGGTCTTAGGCAAGTCACTTTTCTCAGCTTCCTGATGTTTACTTGTAAAGCAAGGGAGTAGGATGATCCTTAAAATTCCTTTCGGTTCTAGTATTCCGGGATTCTTTAATTCTACCTTTATGAAGGTATGGAAACCTTTTTGTCTGTGTGTTTCTTATGGACACTGAAATTCACCCAAACTTTTATTGTCAGGGTGTTCCCAGGTATCCGTGGATATACTCTGAAGCAGTAGTGTTTATGATGCAGTTTTATTCTGCTGATACAATGTAGAGGCGTGGATTAAGCAGTGATTGTTGTGTATGTATGTGCAGATGTTTGTCATGCATGTTTTTCATCCTATCTACCACAAATGAATTTTCTTGTTTGTGCATTTGAATGTTTCAGGAGGAACTGACCATAACTGGATATAGGCATAGGAAGGGACAGTTAGTCATCTTACATGGATTTTCAGCATGAAAATAAATTTCTACTCACTCTGAATGCTTGCATAATATGCTTGCATAATCTTATTCTCTATGAAGTTGGGAAAGATGTCATTGTGGTTTACTAAAATTTAAAAAAATTCTTATTAGCTGCAGAACTCACATATGAAGGGTTGGGGAGTGGGAGTGGGCTGGAGCGTGGCTTCCCCTGTGCCTCCCCTTGCCTCCAGGGCACCTAAGTCCTCATCAGCCCTGTGGAGTTCAACCCTGACTTTGTGTTCATGGCAGGTATTATACCAAGGGTGGAGTAGTGGCTGATACTGTGCATCTAGTTGAGGTGCCTAAAGGGCTGACTCATGGGTCTGAGTGTGACGAGAAATTTCTGAGGAAGATGTACCAGCTGCTGCTGGAGGTGGATGTTTGGAGGGCACCCCACAATGCCCAGTGTGTGCACATCTGTTTCCCATCAACTGGGGAATATGCTGTTCCCCAACATGCTGTTGACTGATGAGGAAAAAGAGACTTAACTGTGCCAAGCATCAGTTTTTCATTCTGAACCGTGTGTATCTTTGTTTATGTATGCCCTGTTTGCTAGTTATGTCTTGTGTATCCCCAACCCTTGATCCAGTGACACACTAAACACACTGTCCTTGAGCGTGGTATTATAAACTGTTTTCTTGTTAAAGGTTCAAAAACAGAACAAAAATTGTCAGGAGACAAGAAAGGGTACTTGATGCCCAATATATGCATTTAACAAACACTGATTCCCTACTGCTAGGTTCTAGGGATGCAAATAGGGGTGAGAATTGGCCCCTGGTCCAATATCAGACAAGAAAGCGAGTGACTAATGCAGGGGGTGAACTAATGGAGGTCACAGGTGGTTTTTGGGAATATGCAGATATCTCTTCACAGTGCCAATGTGGTTGGTTTGGCACCATAATGCTGGATTACCTCCTTTTCTAAACTGGTGGTATTTACCCCCACTTGGGGGGGCGTGGATTCTGTTAATATTGTATATGAATGGTGCATTTCCTCTTTACTGCCACTGTGTGAGTACAAAACCTGAGGTTATTTCTTTAGTTAAAGGGCAGAAACTCCTGGCCCTCCAGTGTTTCTCCATTGCAGATGAATATCACCACCAAGTAAGGGGACATCTGAAGCATTTGATAATTTAATGTAAATGAATTTCAAATTAGTTTCATCTTTAGTCTATTTGGGAAGAGATTTCAAGTATTAAGTCCCACAGCATTGAAGGCAAGTGAGAGTTTGTATCTACAACGTGATGATGATTTGCACTTTCTAGAGAGAGTGTTGGACTTGAACTCACACTACCAGTACCTTATTCTGAGGGAGGAGTTTCTATCATAACCTGTCACCTTTTTCCTATTAACCTTTGAAATTAAGATTTCACTTATGTGTTTAATACAGATAGTGTTAATCCTTCCCTAAGTTTATGATTTACTTTTTAGGGAAAAATGTTTCTTTTGATTCTGAACTTTAGTCTTTAATGCATAATCTTCAAGTGTTAGAAAGATTCAGGGTGGCATTCTTTTATTTTGTTTGCAAAGATAGAGACCTCCAGATAATGGATTCAGTGACATTGAGTTCCTCTCCAGTTCTAGGGGTATAATACTCTCATTTGACAGATGTAGAAAGAAGTCCAAAGAGCTAACATAACTTGCTAAAAGATTGGCCACAGGAACTTGAGACTTGTCTGAGATGGGCTGTCCTGCTTAGATGTAAAGCATGATAGTTAAAGAATTACTTGCTTCAGTGAAATGTACATCTTTTTTTAGAGATAATATAATAAAGGCTAAGATCATATGAATGGACACCAGATGATTTCTAGATGATTAATTTCTGATTGCTCTGCGAATACTCCCCTTCTCAGAGGTAGAGAAGTTAAGCAGAATTTCTCTTTTATGTTTTTATTAGGTGTCCCCTGCATATATAAAAAAGAAGCTGTTCGTATATCTAATGGAAATAAAATATGGACACTGAAGTTCTCTCACAATGTTTCAAATAAGACTCCACTTGTCCTCCTCCATGGTTTTGGAGGAGGTCTTGGACTCTGGGCACTGAATTTTGGAGATCTTTGCACCAATAGACCTGTCTATGCTTTTGACCTGTTGGGCTTTGGACGAAGTAGTAGACCCATGTTTGACAGTGATGCCGAAGAAGTGGAGAATCAGTTTGTGGAATCCATTGAAGAGTGGAGATGTGCCCTAGGACTGGACAAAGTGATCTTGCTTGGACACAACCTGGGTGGATTCTTGGCTGCTGCTTACTCACTGAAGTACCCGTCAAGGTAAGTGATGGTGACAGAGAGGCACCCAAGTGCTAGTCTCTGGTTCCCATCTTCGGTGGTTGCTGGCATCTGAGCCTTACAAGACAGATTCTCTTAAGGGATCTTATACACCAAGTAGTCACAACTGATGGCCAATAATAGCTGAAGTGATGATGTCAGATTTTCCTATTACACTTGCTACCTATTTATAGAAGGCTTGAGAAAGGACTTTTCTATTTGCTAAACTTAGAAGATATACAATTGAAACCACAAATAAAAATTGTTGTGGTATTGCTTACTATTGTTGTTATCCTTTGACCTATGGATCTAGCAGGTTTTTCCTTAACCTTTTCCAGGTTATAATAAGCTGTAATAGGAAACCAGAAGGTTAGAAATGAGAAAACCTAGTGCTGTCTTTTGGCTTAGAGCAAAATCACTTAACCTCTAAGCTTTCATTTCCGCTAAACTACAGAAAATATACCTGCACAGTGTATCTTACAGGGTTTTGATTATACTGTGCCCTAACCTTTATTGTTATAGAATTATTTTTTATAGGCATTGAATTAATGAATGTTTGCTTCAGAATCTTTGTAGCATCTCTTCCTTTCTGTACCTGATTTTCTTATGCTATTTCCTATTATTTATGTTAGTTCTCCAAGGGGAGGTCACATTAGAGTGCTAAAAGCAATAGAAGAAAAGCTCATTTTTGTTTTGTTCATCTTTTGGAAAGAAACAAAAAATATCAGCATTTTTATGTTGTCGTTGTATTTTTCCATTGGACTAATTTTTAAGTCCAAAATTGCAACCAACTGTGACATTGAGGTCTGTGAATGAGACACTGGATGACGGTCATTTTCAGAGTGCATTTATGCACCTGTGAGGCTGTGCATTGCATAACTCCAGGTGTGCTGTTGACACAACACTTGATGTGGAGCAGCAGCCCTGTATACCTGAGGTTTTCTTCCTCTGGAGCAGCCAACGTTTCCTCTACAGATTCTTTATCTACACTTCAGCATTCACACTTGACTTTTGTGGAGAGTTTATAGTCCTATGTGCGCTAGACAGTAATAGTTTAGTCAACTAGCAGACCAGTTCTTTCTAAAGAAATAAAATTGTCTTCTCCTGGTTGGCTGTTTGGGATTACTGGCTTTGTGTTCTACTCTTAGAGACAAATGTTTGTCACCGAGAGAAGGAAGTGAATAGTTTTCTGGTATAAGACAACAGGGCTATTTTGGAGGTTGGGCTTCCTTTGTTTCATAACAGATGCTTATTATGTTTATCTTGTGGTATTTATCCCTTGGAGATGTGACGTGGGTCTCTGGGCCAGACTCTGGTTATGAAACTCCTAAATCTTAGAATCCTGACGCTTCGTGGCTATCTGCTATTTAAGTTAGTTAGGGAGATTTTCATTTGCAGTTGTGAAATGTTTAAAGAACTAGGAGTTTTATTGATTCAGAGGGAATGGGCACTTTAAAATCACCTATAAAAGAGAATAACAATATTTTGAATGACATGGTTGACAGACAAGTATCTAAAACAAAGCCAGTGATCATTTTCAGAGTGCATTTATGCACCTGTGAGGCTGCCCATTGCATAACTCCAGGTGTGCTTTTGACACAGAACTTGACGTGGAGTAACAGCCCTATGTACCTGAGGTTTTCTTGGACTAACTACATTTGTAGAAAATTAATTTTGAGCGTTTGTGCCTAATACTAGAAATAAAATTAAAGTGTCAAGACCAAGAACCACCAATGTTAGCAGTAGATGAATATGAGCATGCTTGAAATAATTAACATGTTTAAATTGGCTGATTGCTACCAAATATTAAGTAGAACTCTACAGAATGTGTTGGATAGTCATGCCCATATTCTTAACTGCATAACTTAAATTATTAAATAATGAGGTTTTCGAGATTTTCAGATATGTCCAAATCATGAATGAAGTTCCGTAGGAACCCTGTGGCACATAGTGGGTGCCCAGTGTTAAATGAATGAAATGAGGCCACTAGACTGAGGTGACTCTAATGCCATGGCCTACATAAGCATACCAGAATCCAAGTCTGAAATGCCTCAAGGTTATGAAATCAAAACCTAAGGACAATGAATCACAGCCAGTCTTTCATCTGGCTCGTGGAGCATTCCTAACTGCTTCTGGTTTGGTGCTGCCTGATTCAAGTTGGTTTTTGATCAAATAAACTTAAAAAATTTTTTAATGTGCTTCATTTTTTATTTTACCAGTATCAACTAAGCAAGTTGGAACTATCTCTTCTAAATGTCTCTTACCAACTATCAAGTATCTGTTATAAACTAAAGAAAAGGACAACTAAGAAACCTTTATTAACTTAGAAAGTGTTTAGCAAAGAAATCGATTCCAAGTTACAACAGAGTAGGTTACTACTGGTCTTCGCTTCTCCATTATAAGGTTTACAGATTATCTGACCTTTTGACCTTGCCTGGTTCTGTCTTCTGACTCTGCAGAGCTGGGCTGAACATTTCTTCTATTCTACTTGATCTGGAGTTGGAGGTTTTAGTTTGTTGTGCTCTGGACCTGCCTCATTCTCCCCCCAGTGGCTTGGAGGCCATGGGAAATACCTGGCCTAACTCCATCCTGAGAATTCCTCACTTGTGCACTGACTAGAGTTCTTTCTGGTCCTTTTTTTGTTCCTTTTCTTTTTCTATAAGTAGGTCCTGCAGACTCCCGTGTGCATTTTGGTTCTGAGTCTGAATGTTCTCCTTGTTATATCTGGTTGGTGGCCGAACTTAAAACTCATGCAAGTCAGATTGTATACCTTTGTTAGCGCTTAGACTGAGCTGCCCCAAGGTGTGAGAGCTGGTGTGTCGTCCACTACTTGCCCTTTACACTGCAGTCTGCTCACCATCCATCTTCCAACTCAACACCTACTCTGATGACCAGCTGGAGAACAGTGCCTCTTTATGTTTTGAAACTGATGGACTGTTCTCTTGTTCCTGCTCTGCTGGTTCTTTGTTTTTCCTGTAGTTTGAATCAGTCTCTGATTCTTGACAAAGACGTTTGAAAGGATGATTCACATGTGGTGCCTGGGTAGACCCATCCCTTAATCCTAGATGTGAACGAACAATCCCATCATGCTATCAGCTCTGGAATATTAGAGGTTAGGATCTGGATTACTGTACTAATTTAGATAGACTACATTAAAACCAAGTAATTCTTATCAAATGAGATGATCTTTTCATTAGAAAAGGAAGTGAGAAGATAGGCTGGGAACTTGGTCTATTGCAAGGTTATAATAACCTGTGAGACAAAACCTATAATCAGGCTTTCCTGAGCAATGAAAGTTAAATTACTCACTGCCCACATGATTCTAGCCACTGTCTTCCCATGCTCCCTGGAATAAATTCTTTAGTCATCCTCCTATTTTTGCTACTGTAACTATCTAACATTTACTTGATATTTACTGTTTGATAGCTTTGCATAGTCTATCTCATTTAAAGGCCTTACAATAAAAAATAAGGAACAATTATTTTTCTGAGGTCTGTTTTTTATATGTAGTGGAAGCAGATGGTATATATAACTCCAGTTGAGGCATTGTTGCAGAAATTTAATTTTTTTTTAATTCTCACCCAAGGACATTTTTGCATTTTTTGTTCAGTTAGAGTGGGAGGGAGAGAGAGAGAGAAACATCGACGTGAGAAAGACACATTGAGTGGTTGCCACCCACACAACCCAACCAGGGCCGGGGACATACTGCATCCGAGGTACATGCCCTTAGTGGAAACTGAACCAGGGTCTCTCTGGACTGCAGGCCGATGCTCTAACTGCTGAGCAAAACTGGCCAGGGCTGTTGCAGAACTTTTGAAGATGATTTTTAGCCTGGGTTGGTGTGGCTCAGTGATTGAGCATCAACCCATGCACCAAGAAGTCACTGGTTCAATTCCCAGTCAGGGCACATGCCCAGGTTGTGGACCAAATCCCCAGTGAGGGGCATGCAGGAGGCGGCCAGTCAGTGTTCTCTCTCATCAGTGTTTCTGTCTCTCTCTCTCCCTCTTCCTTCCTCTCTCTCTCAAATCAATAAAGGAAAAAAAATTTTCTTGATGATGTTCAAATTTTTTTTACTGTAGCCCTCAGTAAGAATTATATGTGTATGTGTGTCTGAAATGAAGTTTGTGGAATGATACTCATATTTGTTATTATATATTTTTCTGTTCCACATTATATAATTTTATTTAAAAACAATCAGACTGGCCCTGACTCTCTAAATGGATTTTACTACCCACTAGTAAGTAATGACCTGCAAAATTAATATAAGAAATTATGATGATATTCTCATGTCATCTGGAGGACCAAGAAAATCCAGACTAGACTAATCCCTATGCTTACTATTTGATTATACTTTATAAAATTTGTATATCCTTAAAGACAAGGACCAAAAGAAAGTGGGGAAAACAATACTCCAAATGTTTACTAATCATCTACCATGTGCTAAGCACCATGCTAAGCTGAGGATACGGGATCAAGCAACACTTATTGGAGCAGTTTACTCTTTAATAACGAAAAGGTCATGTACTCTAGTATATACACTTTGCATAATTTGTTAAGCTGGCATTCTTACCTAGAGATGATATTTTGCAGATCCGTATTAAACAAGGCAAGCCAAAACTAAGGCAACAACAAAACAATCGCTTCACTAGAGACTCTCTTCCTCAAGTTTTCCTTTGTTCTCCCACTTCTTGGGTTAGCAGATCAGTGAGAGCCTAGAGCAGGCTGTGCAAGATCCCAAAACAAGCCCAGCTGATGTGGCTTAGTTGGTTGAGCGTCTGTCTCATGCACCAAAATGTTGGTTCGATTCCTGGTTGGGGCACATTGATCCCCAGTAGGGGTTGTGCACAAGGCAGCCCATCAATGTTTCTATCTCTCTCTCTCCCTTCCTCTCTCTCTAAAATCAATAAAAATCTATTTTAAAAAGAGATCCCATAACAAATTTATAACAAAAGTTTAATCATCTTTTGGGTTCAAGTATGTTTTAATAGAGTTCATTTTTCTCTGTAAGAGATAAGTCAGTAGTGAATAATACTATTTTTTTAAATTATTTTTATTATCTTTTTTAGAGAGAAGAAGGGAGAGGGACAGAGAGAGAGAGAAGCATGGATGTGAGAGAGAAACATTCATGGGTGCCTCCTGCACGGGATCGAGTCTGCAACCCGGCATGTGCCTTGACCAAGAATCAAACCAGTGACCTCTTGGTGCATAGGACAATGCCTAACCAACTGAGCCACACTGGCCACAATTAGACTATTTTTTAACATGAATCTTTGCCACTTTCAACTAGATGGCTATTTCATAAATTCTACTCATGCCTCTGACATGCCACCCTCTTCCCCCTCCTTAAATCTCAATGTGGGCTGTGTAAGCGAAATTTAGGAGGAAGTCAAAATATCAGAGAGAGCCTCTGCCATTAAAACAAAACAAACTCATTTCCATCCCCCTTCCATACACTATTAGAAAACAGTAGTCTCATAAAATTTTTATGAGTAAATGCACTCAAAGTCTTTAGAAATCTCACATATCACACATTTTCACACAGATTCATAGTTACATTTTACCAATCTTGATGCTATGAGTATAGTGTTAGGACTGGCCTTGAATTGATCAAAGTTAAGGGCTTTGCCTTTGCTAACATCTGTCTTGTATGTTTCTCAGCCTGTCCTTAGGAAAGAGAGCCTTCTGCCCAATGGCTTGTTGGCATCTGTTAGTATCCTGGAGTCAGGAAATGTGGGTTTTAATCCTAGTTCTACATTAACTAGTTTTATGTCCCAGAGCAGGTCACACAGTGCATCTCAGTGTCCTTCTTATCTGAGAGATGAAAGAGTAGGCTGACCTCTCCAAGGGCCCTTAGAGCTCTGTGCTCTAGGTCTGTGCTCTGAAGCTTTCTGCCGGAGAAAATGCAGTCAAAACAAAGGACTCATTACTAACTCACCTGTGCTGGCAAAAACAGTAAAACGTTTTATATCAGGAATAATAGCCATCTTTACCCATGTGCTGGTTTCTTTACTTTTCTGTTTCAATTATGACTTAGGAAAGGGACTTTAGAGTCATTGTCAGTTCATCCTTGGAGATTTTTGCTGGGTTTTGAAGATTGTCTTGTGTCGGGAGGAACCTATGCTTTGCTTAGACCTGGGTGATGTTAATACTCTGATGCAGCCATGGGGAAGGAAGTAGTCCTCAGAGTTCTGGCTTTCCCTCATCAGGAAGCAGTTTCAGAAGATGGAAAAATGAAGCTGTTAGTGATATGAAACAATTTTATATGAGGTTGGATTGAAGATTTTGTATCTCTTGCATCAGTAAGGAAGAACATTAGGAAGGGATAGAATCTAAGGCCCCATTGTAGCTTGATGCCATGAGTATGGTAGGTATGCTCCTGTTCACCAAACTATTATTCAAAACTAGGAGGTATCCTTCCTGCCCATGATATTACATTATTATCCTTATGTTTGTGAAAAGTTCACTTAAAGTTCTTTTGAACCCACTTAAAGTCCTAACGCCTCTTAAATTATTAGAATGATTCATAGGAGATAACTGTTGTTGGTGTCTGAAGCTATTTTATGAGTGTAATATTAATCTTCAGTCATTTCTGCAGTGTCAACCTTGAGATAGATTGAACTACTGGATTGTTCTGAGTGGTCATCTGCCTGAGTGTAGCTTAAACAATAACAACAAATATCGGTTCTCAAGAATAGTCACACAGTTATCATATACCCTTAGATAACACCTCTCAAATCCTACCAAATCTCTAAAGTTCACATGTAATAAGAACATGATGTAACCTTTTCAACCATTAGTCTTATCTTTAATGTGAAGATTTTTGAAGGTGGTTAGTCCTGTCTTTACTTTCTAAATTGTGTTAGTTCTTGACACTCCGAGGGTAAATTTGCCAAATGAACTTAAATCTGTTCTTTCCTCAACAGGGTTAGTCATCTCATTTTAGTGGAACCTTGGGGTTTCCCTGAGCGACCAGACCTTGCTGATCAAGACAGACCAATTCCAGTTTGGATCAGAGCCTTGGGAGCAGCACTGACTCCCTTTAACCCCTTAGCTGGCCTCAGGATTGCAGGGCCTTTTGGTGAGTGCTTAGATCTGTACCCTAGAAAAGCAAAATGTTTACAGATGAGCAGTAGGAGTATTTACTGATTGCCATTGTTAGTCAGCATCTTAAAAACAAAACAAAAAAAACGAACCTTCCTTTTTCTCCGCTAAAAAGTACCAGTCCATGCATAAAGATGAACAAAACCAGACCTTTCTCCTCAGTGAGGAGTCTTTATAGTGTCAACATTACAGGTGATGAGCAAAGCTGAGAAGGTAGGACATGCTGAGGGTGAGTTAGTCGGCCAGGCCTGGGAAGAAGTGCGTGTGGATCTGTCAGTGAGTGTTAGGGAGCAGCACGTGTCAGGCTGATGGCCAGCTACAGGTCACAAAGCCCGACCTGCTCAACCAGGGGATACACCACCACACTCACAGGTTCCTTTCTCGTCCCGCAATGTCAGAGGGTTAAGAGGATCAAGTTCTTCTTCTTCCCAAAGATTTTGAGGACTCTTGATTTAAGTTCATTTGGCTCTCAGCTTCTCTGTCTCAGTCTCAAAGCCAAGGGAGTTTCCTTCCCTCATTGTCACAATGGTGATGGTCTGCACCTCTGCCCTGCCCTCTGATAACTTGTGTTAGTTGGCAGTGCTTTTAGCTGCAAGTAACTAATACCTTAGTGGTTTAAACTATAAGGCCTTTGATTACTTCTTTAACGAACAGTCTGGAGGCAGGTGGTTTTAGCATTTGTTCTGGTAGCTAGCTCATGGGTTGGGGTTTGGCTTGCAGCTGGATTTCCTGGCCTTTCTCCTCACTGTTGTTTGACGGCTCCACTGCCATGAAATATCATCTCATAAAGCAGCCCTCTCTGAGCAAGAAGACGTGGAGCACTGAAAATGGTCTTTTCTCCACAGTGCTCTTTGTCGGGGAAGAAATGGAAAGTCCATCCCAGTAGACCTCCCCTCATGTCTCTGCCTGCCTCTAGTTCTTTACCAGCAAAAACCCCACACATTTCTGTGACTGATTAGTCATGATTTAATCCCAGGCTGGAGTGAGGGGCCTGCTTTCCTGGGCACACTGCCACTTAATTGATAAACAAGAGTCAGGTTCTGTCAGGAAGAGAAGAAGAGAGGCTTGCGGGGTGGGTGAGAGGGTGGAAATAAGTGCCACATAGGCGACTGTAGATTCTGTTGCCCTCTGCCCAGGCCCCGCCCCTCCTGGCCCTAGTGCCATCCCTTTGGCATGGGGAGAGCAGCAGGACTGCAGGACTCAGGGCACAGGGGTTGACTGGAACCACACTGACGCCTCAGCACTCACAGATAGCCTTTGCTCCTACCCTGGTCCTGTCACCCCCTAGCAGAGCCACTCCCTCGTAGGTGTCTGTCCTCGGGATTACTTAAGAGTCTGTGTAGTAAATGGATTTGCCTTGATCACAGTTACACAAGTAGCAATTATGGGAAAAGTAAAATATGAAAAGAAATTAGGAGACAATGGTGGAGGAGGGATGCCTCTCATCACTGCTTGCAGTGGCAGGGAGGGCAAGGGCGGTAATGTAGACTATTAACTGTATCGTAAAAATTCTTGTGGAGATGCATAATTCCTTCAGAAACAGGCAGGAAGACCACTAAAGAAGTAAGACCTTGCTAGAACAACAGGTAGATTGCAGAAAGGGAAACTGGCTAGTCCCTGGGGCCCCAGAAAGGTGATGGCTCCTGCTCTTGTCCTGTTTCCTTTGGGGGCCTGGTCCCTACTCTCCCCTCAGGACCATGGCAGCCACTGTGGATGGCCTTAGCGGGGAGTATTGCTAGTGTCCCAAGCAGAAATTCTGAATTTATTTTTCACAGAAATAAATATATATTGGGAGAAATACAAGCTAATAAGTTAATTTTATGTGTGAGCTGCTTTCTTAGTCTACCATGTTTAATAGAATTTAGTTTCCTACAAAAACAAGTCTTAGAAAACTAACATATGTTTTGAAATAAAGCACATCTGTAAATCAGTATGAGACACTTGCTTCCTGTAAGCTTTCCTTAGGGAACTTGAGGAAATCAGCTTCTAGGATATGTGCTTTTTTCCACCTAAAATGCAATTTGAATAGATATGTTGCAAGCACACAGTGCTCACTATGTAAGCAAACACTAAAACTTTCTATATTAGTTAGTCTATAAGTTAGTTATAATTTAAAACATACAGATAATTTAAAACATTCATTTTCTATTAAATAGGTTTAAGTCTAGTACAGCGTTTAAGGCCTGATTTCAAGCGGAAGTATTCTTCAATGTTTGAAGATGACACTGTGACAGAATACATCTACCACTGTAATGTGCAGACTCCGAGGTAAGGGCTATCATTCCAAATGTACTATGTTTGTGTATTAGATTTTCCTATGTGAACAGTTTAGGAGATTTTATTAGTAGTTAAATTACTAACTCTTAATTTACTCACCTATTCATGGAGTACTTTCTGTGTAAAACACTGTACTTGGGTTCTGATGGGAGATTAAAAAGCAAGGCATATTTTCTTCCCCTGAAGTGCTTATGGATCATTTGAGGAAGTCTTGGTCTCAGGCATCTCTAGGAGGTATTTAGAATCGAGAGAAAAAGATTTCAAATAAAACAGTATTCCCACACCGAGTAGGAATGTTCTTCCATAAAAGGGATGCTGGATTAAACAGATGTAAATGGTTTTCTGTAGCATGGATCTTCTTAGAATCTTTTACTCTGCCGAGAGTATTAAATCTCCTAAGTGTAGGGGAGATGCTGTGCAGCATTTTTCAAGTTCATTTGATAATTACACCTCTCTTTACTAAGCAGCTCTTAAGTCTGCAGTGAGTAAGGAGTAAGAAGGGTGGGGTAAGGGGAGAAGGATTCTGCATGTATTTTGACAGTAATTACATTCATCCCTTGCCACTTCAACTTTCATGGCTTCACTCTATTGCGGGTTTTTTCTAATACAGTTGTCCCTTGTTTATCGCGGTTAATTTGTTCCAGACTCTAGCAGTTGCACCTGGCATTGAAGGATTCCTGGGATGCTCGAATACATAGGCCTACAGTCCATACGTACAGTAATTTTAATTTTAATTGTAATACAGGGGTGTATAATTGACTCAGACAGCCGAGTGTACACTGTGTCATTTTCATTGTCTCGATCAACTTTTTAATGAATATATTTGAAAAAACCGCGATAGAGTGAAGCCCAAAAGTTGAAGCATGAAGTGGTGAGGGACAACTGTATATTCATTAAAAAGTTGATCGATAACAGAAACAGAAGATGGTGGGGGGCAGGACCAGAGGGAGGGTGAGTGTGTGAGAGAGTGAGCTAGTGTGTGAGTGGATGTTAAGATGGACGACCAAACCCGTGCAGGGCAGAGATGCGGAGCAGAAGGTTCCTGTGCTGTGGATGGGAGCAGCCAGCTACCACGGGAAGCGGCTCTTCAGGGTGCTTCCCCCTGCACCGCGGGGAGGTCCCACCATTTTGGAAGATCCCGGGTCTTCCCTGGGAGGAGGCAGTGGGAGTAGCTAGGGCCCAGCAACCTGAGCCCTCCAGCGCACCTGATACCATTGGACCAGTGGACAGTAGTGGAGCCCCCAAGGTGCCAGGCTCAGAAGCTGTGGACAGCTGGGAGCCCAGCACCATTCCCAATAGTAGCAGCCCAATCAGAGTCGAGATATACCCCCAGCAACAGAGGCTGGAGAGCAGACATCCGTCCCCAGGCAACAGAAGCACAGACCACCAGCTGAGACCCATCCCCCAAAACTACAGCCCCACGGGGCATCAGCACTCCTCAGCCACCAGCGGTGGGACCTGGGGCTCCACAGAGGCCTGTCTGGTCCAGCAGCTCACAAGAGCAGTGGGAAGCCAGAGCCCGAGAGAGACTGGTGCAATCCAGCTGCCCGTCCATGGGACCTGCAGAGTGCAGGGGCACTAGAGAGGCCTATGCAACCCAGCAGGGACTGTGTGATCTAGTTACCCGCAGGACCTGCAGGGTGCTGAAGCACCAGAGAGGTCTGTGTGACCCAGCAGGGACTGTGCCATCCAGTTACCCACGGAACCTACAGGGTGCTGAAGCACCAGAGAGGCTTGTGCAACCCAGCAGCCCCCATAACATAGGCATAGAGCTGGGTCCCCAGAGGGACTGTGCGATCCAGTTACCTGCAGGACCTGCAGGGTGCTGTGGTACCAGAAAGGCCTGTGCAACCCAGCTGCACGCAAGATAGGTATAGAGGATGTGAAAAAGGAGGCGAAGTGAATGGAAGCTATACAGATGATCTCCCAGGACCAAACGGAAATTACAACTAAAATAAAGACAAATCCTCGGAAAAAAGCAACAGAAAAGCAGCAGGACAGGACCATATTACCAGGGACACGTAGGATCTGCAGAGGCGCAAGAGAGTAGCGGGCTGGGAGCCCATGGACAGCAGCAGCAGTCTTAGCTGTGAGCAGCGCCCTTGGGGAATAAAGACCAAGCCTGTTCCACTGCCCAGAGAGCCAGGACAGAGTGCTAAAATAGCCACAGCCACTCACCTGGGGGCTACAGCAGAGGGAAGGCAGACTGGGCTGGAACTCTGTGGGGACACCCGGGATTTGGAGGGCACTCAGAGTTTTTGCTGAGTTGCAGCCACAAAGGACAGTGGCCAGTGTGCTCCTTCCCAGAGCCATGGGGAAAAGTAGCAGCCCCCCACCCCCTCAGAGATTCAGCCTTTCCCAGATGAGGCAAAGAAATAAAAATTGAGGCTCATTAACAACCAGCGTCTATCCCACCCTCTGGAAATCCACTTAGGGAGAACACCAGAGCTACATTTCAAGGCACTGAGTAACTGAGACTACTAGCCTCCAGGAAAAAGCTAGAGGATAACTGAACCTTTCCTGGGCTTGCAAATCTACCCAGGAAAGTAAGACTTGACAGTGGTGTTTAACTTGGGCCCATCCAAGCTCATCCAAACCCAGCAGAGGGAGCCACAAATAGCAGAACACAAACACCCACAGGGAAAATGTGGCAGGCTCCAAAAACCACCTAGATAGCCAAAATGGTGAAACAAAGAAACAAATCCCAAATGAAAGAACAAGAGAACTCTATCCAAGATGAGATCAATGAAATGCAGTTAAGCAAATTATCAGAGATAGAGTTCAGAACCATGATCTTGAGGAAGCTCAACAACATGAGTAAGGACATCAGCACCATGAGTAAAGATATAGAAACATTGAAAACCAACCAAGTGGAAATGAAGAATGACAGCAGAAATAAAGAACATATTGGAAGAACTAACCAGCAGAGTAGAGGAAACTGAGTTCCGGATCAGTGAATTAGAAGACAGGGTAGAAAAACATCAACCAATCAGAAAACCAAAGGAAAAAAAAACAATTAAAAAACAGGAAGATAGCTTAAGAGAACTGTGGGACAACTGGAAACGTAGTAACATTCACATCACAGGAGTTCCCGAAGAGGAAGAAAATGGGCAAGGGTTAGAGAATATATTTGAAGAAATAATGACAGAAAACTTTACTAACTTAGTGAAGGAAGAAGGCATTCAAGTTCAAGAAGCACCGAGAGCCCTAAGTAAGAAGAACCCAAACAGGCCCACACCAAGACTCATAGTAATTAAAATGCCAAAAATTAAAGACAAAGAGAATCCTAAAGGCAGCAAGAGTAAGCAACAGGTTGCCTACAAAGAAAACCCCATAAGGCTCTCAGCTGACTTCTCAACAGAAACACTAGAGGCCAGAAGGGAATGGCATGAAGTAATCAAGGTCATGAAAAACAAGGATCTTCATCCAGCAAGGCTATCATTCAGATTCGAAAGTCAAATAAAGAGGTTCCCAGACAAAAAAAATAATAATAATAAGAGAATATATTAGCATCAAACCAGCACTGCAAGAAATGTTAAAAGGACCGCTGTAATTAGTAGAAGAAATGGGAAGAAAAATATAACCACACTAAACAAAAATGGCAATAAATAAGTACATATCAATTATCACCTTAAATGTGAATGGTTTGAATGCTCCAATAAACAGACACAGAGTAGCTGACTGGATAAGAAAGCATGATATGTTGTTTATAAGAGACCCACCTCACAACAAAAGACTCACATAAGTTGAAAGTGAAGGGATGAGCCCTGGCCGGTTTGGTTGAGTGGTTAGAGCGTTGGCCTGCGGTCTGGAGAGACCCGGGTTCAGTTCCTGCTAAGGGCATGTACCTCGGTTGCAGTTTGTCCCCGGCCCTGGTTGGGTCGTGTGGGTGGCAACCACCCAATGTGTCCCTTTCACGTCGATGTTTCTCTCTCTGTCTCTTCCTCTCTTTCCCTCCCACTCTATCTGAACAAAAAACGAAAAAGAAAAAAAAAAAGTGAAGGGATGGGAAAAAATCCTTCAAGCAAACGGAAAGGGAAAAAAAAGCTGGGGTAGCAATCTGATAAAGTAGATTTCAAAATGAAGACCATAACTAGAGACAAAGAAGGCCACTACGTAATATTGAAAGGATCTATCCAACAGGAAGATACAACCTTGGTAAACATATATGCACCCAATATAGGAGCACCAACATATATTAAAAATCTTCTGGAGGACTTCAAAGGAGAAATCAACAGCAATACAATTCATAGCAGGGGACTTCAACACCCTGCTGACATTACTGGATAGATCATCTAGACAAAAAATTAACAAGGAAACACAGACTCTAAATGAAGCACTAGATCAAATGGATTTAATAGATATCTACAGAGAATTATACCCCAAAACTGCAGAATTCACATTCTTCTCAAGTGCACATGGGACATTCTCAAATATAGACCACATGGTACGGCACAAACTAAGTCTCTACAAGTTCAAGAAGATTGAAATATCAAGTATCTTCTCAGATCACAATGGCATGAAACTAGAAATCAATTGCAACAAGAACATGCAAAGACATTTGAAAACATCGAGGCTAAATAGCATGTTATTGAACAATGAATGGGTTACCATGGAGATCAAAGAAGACATTTAAAACTTCCTGGAAACCAATGAAAATGAACACACAACAACACAAAATCTACGTGATGCAGCAAAAGCAGTTCTGAGAAGGAAGTTCATAGCACTACAGGCCTACCTCAAGAAACAAGAAAAATTTCTAATTGACTATCTAACCTCACAACGTAAATAACTAGAAGAAAAAAAAAAGAAAACCCCAGAGCAAGTAGAAGGAAGGAAATAGTCAAGATCAGAGCAGAAATAAATGACATGGAGACCAAAAAAAACAATTCAAAGGATCAATGAAACAAATAGCTGGTTATTTGAATAGATAAACAAGATTGATGGACCCTTAGCTAGACTCACCAAGGAACAAAGAGAGGGAACCCAAATACACAAAGTCAAAAATGAAAGAGGATAAATAATAACTGACAACACAGAAATAGAAGGATTGTTAACAAATATTATGAACAATTATACGGCAACAAATTCAACAATCTAAGCGAAATGGACAAATTTCTAGAAACATAGTCTCCCAAAACTGAACCGGAAAGAGAAAGAAAACTTGAACAGACCAATAACAAGAAAAGAAATTGAAGATGTAATCAAGACTCTCCCAGCAAACAAAAGCTCAGACCCGGACGGCTTCACAGGGAAATTTTACCGAACATTCAAAGAAGAACTAATAGCCATTCTCCTCAAACTATTTCAGAAAATTTAAGAAAAGGAAGACTTCCAAACTCGTTGTATGAGGCCAGCATAATTCTAATTCCAAAACCAGAAAAAGACACTACAAAGAAAGAAAACTACAGGCCAATATCCCTGATGAACATAGATGTCAAAATTCTAAACAAAATACTAGCAAATCGAATCCAGCAATACATCAAAAAAATTATTCACCATGACCAAATGGGATTTATCCAAGGAATGCAAGGCTGGTACAATATTCACAAATCAATAAATGTGATACACCACATAAACAAAATGAAATATAAAAATTATATGATCATATCAACAGATGCTGAAAAGCATTCGACAAAATCCAGCACCCATTTCTGATAAAAACGCTCAGCAATCTGGGAATAGAGGGATCATATCTTGACATAATAAAGGCCATATATGAAAGAACTACAGCCAACATCATACTCAATGGGCAAAAACTAAAAGCATTCCCCTTAAGAACAGGAACAAGACAAGGATGCCCACTTTCGCCACTCTTATTTAACATAGTACTGGAAGTCTTAGCCACAGAAATCAGACAGGAAGAAAAAATAAAAGGGATCCAAATTGGAAAGGAGGAAGTGAACCTGTCATTATTCACAGATGGCATGATACTATATGTAGAAACCCCCAAAGACTCCATTGAGTCTAGTAAGACTTAATAAATGAATTTGGCAGAGTAGCAGAATACAAAATTAATGTCAAGAAATCGACGGCATTCTTATACACCAGTGATGAACTTACAGAGAGAAACTAAAAAAACAATCCCATTTACCATCGCGGCAAAAAAATTAATATACCTAGGAATAAACTTAACGAAAGAAAGAAAAGACCTATTCACAGAAAACTACAGGTCATTGGAAAAGGAAATGGAAGATATAAAAAAGTAGAAGCACATACCTTGTTCGTGGGTTGAAAGAATTAACATCATTAAAATGGCCATATTACCCAAAGCAATCTATAGATTCAATGAAATCCCCATCAAAATACCAACGATATACTTCATAGTTTTCACGCCTCCTTGTGCACCAGGGTTATTGGAGCTTGTCAGAAATGTGGTTCTTGCCCTGGCCGGTTTGGCTCAGCTGTTAAAGCATTGGCCTGCGGTCCAGAGAGACCCGGCTTCAGTTCCCGCTAAGGGCACGTACCTCGGTTGCGGTTTGTCCCTGGCCCTGGTTGGTGGTGCTGGTGGCAGCCACTCAGTGTGTCCCTTTCACGTTGATGTTTCTCTCTCTCTCCCTCCTACTCTATCTGAACAAAAAATGGAGAAATGTCCTCGGGTGAGGATAAAAAAAAAAAAGAAATGTGGTTCCTGAGCCCTGTTTCCACGAGTCTGACTTAGCAATTCTGGGCTGCATCTTTAACGGGGGCTTCAGGCGATTCCAGTGTTGGTGGGCCAGGGCCCATACTTCAAAACGTAGAAGTGATACCTTGTCCTTTCTAAGGTTGAGACTCAGGCGAAAGGCTGAGAGAGGCTTGGTGCAGGGACAGTCTCTCACCTTCAGCAAGAATATGCACACCTGCCTCGTTGAAGACAGGCCATGGAAGCTCTTGAGGGGTAGCTGTGGCGTCAGTCTTGAACGAAGTGGGTTAAAAGGAGGCTGGAGAGGTTTGGGGTCCTCGAGATTGTTTTGTGACTCACAGGCAATTGGATCTGGTGGATTAGGTCTACACACTTTTATTGGTTTGTTCCTACAGTTTTTAGTGGTCTCTCCCAGGTACATCATATGTTTTCCCACACGGTCTTAGTGTTTTATCCGTCACTCACATTTCATGATTACAGTGTAGCCTTTCTTATGGTGAAACTTGAAGTCTTCATAAAAGGCAGTTCAGAATTATGCCTAGTATTGTAAGGGAAGCAGAAATGTCAACAAAATGGACCTATCTTGGGAGTTTGCAAAGTGTTGTGATGATCACTCAGGCAGGTGTGGCTACGAGAAGACACAGGAAAGGCTCAAGACAACAAAGTCCATTATACTCAGGTCTCAAGGGGTCACCGAAGAAACACCAGATTTTGGTCAGGTGGCAGAAGACAGGAACAGCCCTGGCCGGTTTGGCTCAGCGGTTGGAACGTCGGCCTGCAGACCAGAGAGTCCTGGGTTGGGTTTCCACTATGGGGCATGTACCAAAAAAAAAAAAAAAGACAGGAACAGAAGGAAAGTCTAGGTCAGAGCCTTTGGGGTTCTTCAGGAAAGGCAGGGCAGGGCAGGGTGAGCAGTTTGGGATTGGCTAGTTGAATAATTTCGGTGGGCACAAAAATTTTAGGGTAGTCTCTAGTTGCCTGGTACCTGGTCCTGGGATGATTAAGGCAGAGGAACCTGGAATGTTTGGGTCAACAGAAGAAGCAGGGCTCTGATTGGTTCATTTGCATATCAAAGGCATGATCCCTGTTAAATCCATCTCTAAGAAATGGCTAAACTCCAGGAGGCACAGTTTCTCTCAGCCAGAAGTTTTAAGATGTCAAATGTCATAATCTGCAGAAAATTCAAAATATAAACAAATACACAAAAAATACTTAATTTGAATTTCTTCTTATCTTGGTATAGGCTTTGCCATTGCGTGTAATAATCTGGTGCCATGAACCTGTGGAAAGCTATCTTCAACATTATAAGTTAGAGTGAAAAAATATATTTTAATTATCCCCATAGGAAATTTAATCATTTAATAATAGGAAGTTGGATTGCATGTTTTGATTTAGAAGATGATGACTTTTTAAATTAACTCAAGTTTGAACATACTTGTTTAACAAAGGAGGCGTATACAGAAGTGTATATCGTCTGTGGGTTTTGTTCCTTATACTTTCTAGTAAATTGTTTTACATTTAAGCTGAGTTTTTTGTTAAGTGGGGCAGAAGCTTAATATGAGTCTGTTTGGGTAGAGGTGGGAGTGCGATACGTGCTCCCCCCCAGAAGTCACCATGTGATTTTCACCTTTTCCTTCAAGTGGTGAGACGGCGTTCAAAAATATGACTATTCCTTATGGTTGGGCAAAAAGGCCAATGCTCCAGCGAATCGGCAAAATGGACCCTGACCTCCCAGTCTCGGTGATCTACGGCGCCCGGTCCTGCATAGATGGCAGCTCTGGCACCAGCATCCAGTCAGTGCGGCCACATTCCTACGTGAGGACGATAGTGAGTCGGTGGCTTATTTTGGGTTTTCAGTTGTAGGCGAGGTCTGTTCTGCTCTCTGCCTTCAGTGAGATTCCAGGCCAGCCCAGCGTTCACCTCCGAGCTGGACACGGGGGGTGGGGCTGGGGTGGGGGCACCCGCACAAGTCTTCATGTCCAGTGGCGAGTTGCCTTTCTTAAGGGCCTTGCCTGTCCCTAGAGCTGTAGTGTGTGAGATTGGAACGACCGGAAGAGGGGCAGGCCCAGTAGCACCTTGAGCCACTCACTCACCCCTCACAAGGCAGCGCGCCCTCACTGGGTTCGCTTCGCTTATCTGCTGGCCTTGTCGTGAGTGGTCAGCTTGGAATGGTTTATTTTTGTTTCATGTTAAAATTTTAATAAAGTTTAATATATTTTTATCTTTATTCTCTCAAATTCTTTGATAGAAATATACAGGGTGAGGCAAAAGTAGGTTTACAGTTGTGAGTACGTGAAATAGAGTTGATTTCTTGTATTACTCATTAATTATTGTATTATTTTCCATACAAATAACAAACTGTCAACGACTTTTGCCCCACTCTGTGTATTAGTAGTTGTCACAGAACAGTGTTGCTTACTGTTTTATGTTTTATGTATAGCTGTTCTCACTTTCATTGCTCAGTGTCTTTGCCTATGTCATTGTTTCAGTAAATGCTTTTACTCACTGACCATATGAATGCTTTTCCTTCCTCAGGCCATCCTAGGGGCAGGGCATTACGTGTATGCAGATCAACCCGAAGACTTCAACCACAAGGTAAAGGAGATCTGCGACACTGTGGACTGAGCACCTGACGGTGGGCACCCTGGCTGACCGCTGCAGAGCCTCGGCACGGAGTCAGCCCGCGGCGAAGAGTAGGGAATCCACCCAGAGAGCCGCCGTCTTCCCGACTGCACTTTGCACCTGTTTCTCCATGAAGCTGCTTGCACACTTCCACCGTTAGTGCCTTCTAGAAGTATGCCTCTCCTTTCTCCTGCAAGTCAGAGTATACAAGAGTCTCTGAATCTGATAGCTCTAATAAAAGGTGTTTGTTTGTCCCTCTGCTGTACTAAAAAATGGTAATTTTTTCAACTGAAATTTTTTTCATTTCTATCTAACTTTGCCATGTCAGGTACTTTTTATATTTCAGTCTATATTGACTATTTAAAAAAGTGATTTCTGAATCTATATATATTGTAAAGGTGCACTTTATTTTCTTTGCTTGTGTTTACCATGTCTAATATATAGTGCATCAAAATTTAATGCGTTTTTATGTAAAATGTCACCTTTTTAGAATACTTCACTTTTGAAATGGAATAATGAGGCAGCATTTTGGTTAAAAAGATAGGAATTGATCACTGCATTAATTTTTCTGATTTTCCTCTGTTCTCTAAGGCTGTAAAGCCACAGTCAGCATTTTAAATGAGATCCATCCTGACACATCTGTGTCAGTGATGCAGTTCTACGCTTCCGGCAAAAGAACATTAGTACTTAAGTGACGCAGGTACTGGACAGCCTGCGCAGAGCCTGTCCTTCCTCACACTGTTCCTCGTCCTCTCTGTGAGCCAGGGCACGGCCAGAGGAGCAGACCTCCTCACGGAGGGGCGGGAAGGCTGGTACCTCCCAGTAAGCCAATCATGTATTTTCATTGACATCTAACTCTTTTAGATCGGTGCTAACTAAAACTGGATCACATTTTACCACTAAATATAAAAATAGGTGATGCTGTTCCATCTCGTGGCACCGGAGATGAACCAGCACTTGGGTGTCTTTTGTTTTTTTTTAGTTTTGTGTTAATTTACATGCTTAAAGTTATATTAAAGTTCTGTATGGTTGATTGAATTATTTAACAACTACCATAAAAAATGTAGTACTTTTTTGCTGTTTTAAAATGAGGAAAAGCCTCATTGAAACAAAAGCTCCACGTGGTGACTGGCTGCTGAGGAGAGCCTTCGACAGAGAAGACGGAACAGGACTGTCACCGGCAAGGCAGTTGCTTATGTTTTGCCAAGATTCTTGTCTAGGAGAAAGGTGGTTATGTAAATAAAAACAGTAACCTAGAGCAAATAGTGGTTTAATGGTTTTGACTTGTATCTTTAAGATGGTTAATTAGGAAATTTCTAGTTGTAAGAAGTAAGGCTGTATCACTGTTGATCAACCGCCAAAAAGACCGAGTATTCTGTTTTCAGCATTATCTCCCCTACAAAAGAGTAGGCAAAATACACAAATTATACAGAAGCACAACAGACAGTTTCCAGTGAATTTGTGTCACTTGTCAAATGAGGTAGGTCAGTGAAAAAGGTAACAACAGAGCCCCGGCATGTGAGACTTCCCCACCATCAGAACAAAAGAGCCTTTACTTCTTAGTTATTATTTTAGGTGGCCAGAGTCAGACCTCTGTGTGGTGCAAATAATTTGGGTAAGACTTTTGTGTTGCTATGTAACAGACTCTCCCGTCTCCCTTCATGACTCTTTGCTGGGCAAAGGACAGCTTTCACCTGGACGGGGGTTTCTGTGCAGGAGGCCTGGCCCCAGCCCCTGAGGGGGGAGTTTCTCGGTTCACTTAGTAAAGGGGGTTTCTGGCCACGAATGTGCCAAGTGATTCAGGAAAGAAGGTGGCAAGTGGAACTTATTTTCCTTTTGACTGATTTTGCTTTATTTGAAAAATATTATCATCATCCTTTTTAAAAGTTACATTTTACCTAGGGCTATAGCATATGTAATTTTGTGAAGATTGAGCTAGCAGAGAAAGTCACAGTCCTCAAATTCCTGAAAATACAGAGGGTGCTAAATGTTTTTTAAAATAGATCACAATATTTGATTTTTGCTAAATTATGCACAATGTACTTCAAGATTATTTTACAGAATAAATTTTACTGTGATAGTCACAACAAGATAACTGCTGTATATGTTCTTGAGTTTCCACATGGCCCTGTGTGTTTACATCGGTTATTACAGGACCACGGATGCAGGGGATGTTCAGGACGGCGGTTCTGCGGGAAGGCTGTGTCCCTCAGAACCCCTGCGTCCACGTGTCCCTCAGTCTTCTAAAGCTAATAAAAGAAATGTTCGTCTAGAATGAGTTTCAGAATATTACCTAGAAAACACTTTTGAAATGTCTTCATTTATATATATTTGAAGGGCATACTAGATCCAATAAAATGAGAATTATTTTCCTGTATGAAGGTATTAGGAAAAAATTAACAGTAGCCAGCAGAAACCTAGAAAAGAACAGTGGGTAAGGAAGAGTAACCCTTCTAGATATTAGAACATACCATAAACAATATGAAGAAGATATATTTCTCCATATTTATTGCCTCTGCCTCTATTTCTGTCTCTCCCCATTTCAGGAGAGAGATGCATCACATATATCTCCTGCTAGTTCCTCTAAAAAGTCTCCTTAGAGAGAAAACATTTCAGTGTTACATTAAATTAGAACTGGTTAAATTTATTTTTTATTTGTTTTCTAGCTGTAGCCTGGTTTTAGGAACACTGAATTATTTTAGACCCAGATTTAAAATCAAAACACAGTCTTAGCAAGTAGTTTTCTAAATGAATGGATAAGAAATTTTATTCCACCATATATTTTAACCCTTACAAAAAATCTTGCATCCTCACTTAAGGCTTAAAAGGGTTTCATGAAGTGCCCATTAATTGTTTGAAAGTTTAGAATAACCCAAGCCTACGTTTTCCTTATTAAACATCGCATTCGTGTCGTGAGGGGTCACTTGGCTGGCAGACGTGAAGGCTGAGTTCTAGTTAGGTTTGTCACACTGGAACTGAGCACTGGCGTCGGGGCAAGTGTGCAAAGCTTCAGGGCGGGGCCACTTCCTCGGTAATGAGAGGAGACTAGTTACAGTGGCCAGGGCGGGGCCAGAAGTGCATCACACACATTACTGCTGGGTTTGTCCTGTTCCTTAAGGGCTGTTTCCTAGTTTTCACCTATGAATGTTTTTAGAATTAGAAGTTATAGCAACAGGAACAATTCAGTGTTGAGGCCAAGATGCTAGACACCAATGACTGGTTTTTCACCTTCCTGTGCCAACCAGCTTGCTGTATTTCTACTTGAAAATGCTGCTTTCCATAGGGTGAGGGGCACTGTGGCCAGGGGATATAAAAAATAAGATGGCAGAGGAAGGCCCTGTGCTGACCTGCAGGAAACTGCTGACGAGCAGCTGTCTGACCTCCATAGACCTCCTCCAAATAGCAGTTTCCAGGGATCCTGAGGCATGAAGCATCTCCTCTGTGCCCTGGATGACCTCGCAGCCTCAGGGCCAGCACCACAAACACAAACAGCCAGGGACACACGCGCACTGAAGCGCAGCCTGTTGCAGCAAAACGTGAGCATGAGGTGGGGACCGCACCAAATCAGAGCAGCAGGTCTTGGACTGTCGTGTGCCTGTCATCAAGGCCACCTGTCACAAATGCAGAGTTGAGGCACTACTCCAAGAGATCTGATTCTGCAACTCTGGGCAGGTGGAGCCTGGGAGTCTACGTTTTCAACAGGTGTCCCAACCACCACCCCCATCACCACCCTGCCCAACACATCTAACAAAGGAGTGTTAATTATTTGGTTTATCAGCCAGTTCATTTGCTTGGACTCAAGCTACAAATGCTGTTTCTCGGTGGCAGCTGAAATTGCAGTTCGAATATTTTATCCTTAGCTAGAGTCTGCCCCATATGGACAGTCAGAAATGTGGGTAGAAATTATATCCAGAGTTGGAGGCTCCCCTCCCTGGCTCTCTCTGTTCCAGGACTCGTCCTTGTCTGGCAGTGGCTGTGCTTGTCCAGACTGCTGGTCTACCAGAGTTCTGGTCGCTTCCTACCTTGTGGCCTTCTCTCAGGCTGAGCTGTGAAAAGGCTGTTCTTCTAATCCAAGTACCAAGTGCCTTTCTGAGTCTGCTTGCTGTTGTTCATTTTCCAGCACCTTCGGGTGGTGGTTTCTTGATAGTGTCTGGTTTAATCATTGTTATCGGTGGCTGGGTTGGTCCCCAGTATGACCCTCTCTCCTGTCCTGGAAGTGGAACCCCTGGCCAGACTTCAAGATCATTGTATTCCAATGTTCATTTTTGTACTCGCTTGAGACTTGGCCAGGTAGGGGTGTGCCTTGCCTCTTACTTCTGTGCTTACACTTACCGTCAGCCAGCTGTGGCCACATGCCGCAGTCTCTGGATATTCCCTTCACTGCAGGAATGTAAATAGGAATTAGCCAGTCAAGACGAGCGGTGTGGTATTTGCGCTGCTTTTGGAGAAGAGGGCCCCAGCTCAGCTGCGATGAGAACCAAGTAGAGTTTGCAGTCAATACCCCGTCGGAAAGCCTTTCTGTCTTGTCTCTGTCAAGCTGCTTCCTAGTAAACCCTTTACCTTCAGCTGTTGCTGGCCTTGCTGGCCCTGCCCATGTGTCTCCAGCAGCTTGCAACATTTTGTTGATCCAGGTTCCTGAGGCCTGTGTCCTCCCTGGAATTGTATTTCTCGTGCAATTGGAGCCACGCTGGTCGTTGTAATCTAACAGCCCTACGGCCGTCCGTGTTCACTAAGCTAACAAAAGCAACATGATTAAATTCTTGACAGATGCCTACTTCTAAATCAGGAAAGTTCCAACAACTTCAGATAGTAAACTACCCCAATATTCTGCATTACTCAGAACCCCATGGCGCCAACTGTAGGCTGTGATTAGTGACATGTTATTAGCCTGGAAATCAGCAGAAACCTTGAGGAATGAATGCTTTTACATGTGTGTTGCTGATGGAAACTATTCCTGATTCCCTAAAACTAATCCATACAATCTCTAAAAGGTGGTGCTCCTGATACATGTCCCCCACATCACCACCCTCCAGTGCTAATGACGAAAGAATGGGGAAGTAATCAGCAGAGGCTAATGGGTTTATTTACTACACTGAGACTAAGGAAGTGGGATCTGGAATTCCAAGAATCACAGTCCTGTGATCTGTAAATTGGCACTCTGATACCTGCCTCATCATCTATTAATCTTTGGCCTGTGGGGCAGCAGCCAGCCATGAAGTAAGCCAGGTGTGTGTCTGTCTGTCTGTCTCTCTCTCACACACACACCCTTATTGAGCAACCTCCACTGTCAAAGATGCAGCTGAGAACCAAGGAAGAGGAACAAGGCCTGAGCACCCCAAATGGACACCG